TTGGTCCAGGGAAGACCTGTGTAGCAAAGGCCTTGGGGACTTTGAGCAAGCATAACTTTCATAAGCCTCTTTGCAGCTGTCCACACCAACAGTGTGAGCTCTCATTGTCTCACAGTGATAGATGGTGCCTCCTTCCAGGTCACTCATCTGCTGATTCAGAAGCTTTCCTCTGTCTCACGAGAGACAAGCAACAGGGAAGAAGAGAGTATTTTAATTGTGCTCCTTATGTTTTTATAGACACAATCCAATTTAATCCTCCTAACCCCTGAAACAGGGATTATTAGCCCTCAGTTTCTGATGGGGAGAATTAGGCTTGGCTCAGAGAAGTGGGTGGACTTGCCTGAAGACACACAGCTGGTACAGGATAAAATTGGAATTCCAGTCTACCAAGACTGACTCTTCTGATTTTGTCCACATAGCTTCTCCACCCTCTTGGAAGCCTTAGTCATCCAGCTTTTAAACAAAGCTAGCAGCAGGCTGGATTTTCTTCTCCCTCCCTTTCTCCACCTCCCCTTTCCTCCTCCCCCTCCCTCTTTCTCTCTGTTCTACCTTCGAAACTCAGAACCAGAGCAGACACAACACAAAGGCAAGTAAACCTCCTGATGTTACCAGTGCGGAGGATGAGTGACCCAAAGAGGAGAAAGACCTGTTCAAAGCCATCTAGCAAATGAGTGGTACATCGGTGTTAGAAGCCAGCTTCCCACCAGGGGATCTAAATCCTTTCCCTTCATTCTGAGTCTTTCCTGGAGACTTAGAAATGCACTTGCCTAAAGCCAGGAACTGTGGCAGAGTGGTAAAAGAAAAATGTGCCACATATCCTAAGCTACGATATACATAAGATATTTAAATCTGTGAATAATATTGTCATTATGATGAAGGCCTAACTACATTTAAAGTTTGTAGAGCTCATAAATCCAGAAGCCTTTAAATACCCTTTGTATAGGATTCTACCCACAGCTCTAAGCTCCTATTTAAAGTGGTAACTGTTCTTTTCTGGGCTTGGAAGGTCAGGAGAGGATGGAGAGAAAATGGCGTTTGTGCAAATACATAATTAAAAAGAGAAGTTATATGTATCTAGAGTTTCTGTATCAGCAAAATGAAGATAATATTAGCAACTCCCTTAGGGCTGCTGTGAGGGTGTAGGGAGCTAGTCTGGGTCTTGTGCTTAGAACAGAATCAGGCCACCTAGTCACTGCTCAGAAAGCACCAGTTGTTATTATGTGAATAATAACATAGAATTGTGGGCTGTCAAGGTGGTTCAGTAGGTAAAGGCGCTTGCCACCAAGCCTGACAACCTGAGTTTGATCCCAGGAACATATGTGGTAGAAGGAGATAACTGACTGGTGCAAACTCTCCTCTGACCTCTAGTCGAATTTACTATGGCATCCACATGTGCATGTACACACAGACACACACACAAATAAATACATAAATAAAGAATTATAGAAAGATTCCCTTAGAAAATCTGGAAATGCAGCAAAAATAAGAAATTATTAACATGAGGGGCAAAGAAGAAAGAATCTCTAAATGCTTTAGCTGGGGTCAGGGGAGATGCTATATGTAGAGGGTAAGAAGGAAAAGCCAGCTCCCACTTGGAATCAGACTCCCCTGAGGTCAAATATTGGCTGGGTCACTTAGTTGCCACTTGACCTTAGACAGGATACAACCTCACCACCTACAAAATGAGTACCTCTTTATAGAGGTATGAAGATGAATTCAAAGTCTAGAGACCTTCTGGATCTGGCTCAGAATGAATGCTTCCTGATCCAGCATCAGTTGCAATTGTTGAAACAGAAACAGGGAGATGAGACCTCACAACTCCAGGCTCATTCCAAAACCAGGGAGGAAGATACCTTAGGGGTGGCCTTTACAGTCTGGGGCACCATCCAGATTTCTTTATTCAATCCATGTTATTGAATGCCTTACTATGCTAGAGGCTCTGTACGGGCGCTGGCCTTCCCATGTCAAGTCCCACCCTTTGCCCCCATCAGGTCTCCTGATGAATTGCCTGAAGAAGGTCCCACAGGAAGACGCGAGGCAAGAGTGGGGGGCCATGGGGGGGCTTGGGGGGGTGCCTCTTCAGTGACCTCAGGGAAATGGTCTTTCCTTTTGGAGCTACAATTTCCTCTGCATAAAACAGAGCTATGGACTAGGGAAGGTGAATACAGACAGGAAGTGGGCGGGTAGAAGAAGGGATAGTCCTGCACTAGAGTGATCCTGAGGAACAAGGGACTTGTTGAATGGGGAAATGATATGACATGCTAAACATCTCATGATCCCCAAAGTTCAAGATGTGCTATTTTCATTTTTTTTTATTCTTATTTCCACAGATTGAGCCCCCTGAACCTTCTCTGCTATTGAGCTGTACCGCACCTCACCCCCAAATGCAGTTTTCCTATTAGGGAGGCTAAAGGGTCCTGCTACCTGAAGAAATGTGCAGCCCCTTCCCAAAACTAGTGCAGGTCTGGGCCCTTCCCTACAAACAACCAATAAAATTCAGAACAACTGCTTCTGAACACCTTTATTCTCTAAGCAGAGCAAGGGGCAGAGGTGGAGCAACTAAACAGTCTGTATTTTTTGAGACAGGGTCTTGTGTGTAGCCCAGACTGGCCAAGAAGATTCCCCCTGCCTCAGCCTCCTAAGCACTGAGATTACAGGTATGCCCCACCACACTCAGTCTTTTATTTTTCTTAATTAAAAAGTATAATTATGACCATTAGGTAATGCCTTAAACCTCCTCCTTTTCTTTTCCTCCCTCATTTGTTCTGCTGCGTTTTGAGGTTCAAATAATGCGGAGGTCACCAAGTAAAATAACTGAGATTCCTACTGAGCTTCTGGTAATCCATAAACTAGGGCTCCCCTCTCCTGTGGACCTTACAAATTATTTAAGCCCACAGCAGACTTAACAGCCCATCTATTTGGTTGGGAGAAAAGGGAAACCACAAATACTTCAAGGCTGCACGAAATTCCAGTTGCATCCCCTCCCACCTTGCAGCAACTCTGGCAGGAGTGAAATTCATACATTTTAGAGTCAGTTAAACTCGGACTGACATCTCTGCCTCTAGTTATGTGAGAAACTTTAATCAAGCTTCAGCTTTCTTCTTAAGGAGGAATAAGGGCCCTACAACACTGGGCTGTTTGAGAAACAAGAAGGGAGGAACTGACCCTGATTAAAAGCTCATCTCAGAGACTGAGGTTGCATCTCAAGGAGTATCATAGCATTGAAATACCACGAAAGCCATTCAGCCTGAACCCATATAGTGGCTATTCTGACTTTACAAATGGGTAAAATGAGGAGGGTGGGTGCAGAGACTCATGTATGGCAGGACAAGACCCCTAAGTGCCACCCTGGATGGATTCGCTTGTTCCCCATAGTTGAAACCATCCAACTTCCTAGAACCACCTCTTCCAGAGAGCACTTTGGTTCTTTCTCAGTAGACAAATCAGAGCTGCAGCCCAGCTCTTGGGAACCACCCTCCAGTACAGAGACTGGGGAGGTTGCCAGAGAGCTGTGCCCAGAGGCTGAGAGACACCCTGCTGTGTGTCTAACCTATTTCGTTTTTGTTTAACCCTCACATCTCCCTAGACAGAGTGGTGAACCTGAAAAGAGATAGGTACATGTCATTAGCTTCCAGGGGTTCAACAGTCTTGCAGTTCTGTGCTCAAGACCTCCAGCACTCATCACTGGAACCTGGATGTGTGCAGTGCTAGGAAGAGCTAGCTACAGGGAAGAGGAGGAAGCAGAAAGGGATGATGACTTGAGAAACAGCAACAATAGCCAACTTCTGCTGGATGCCAGGCACTCCCATATCCCAGGTGACAAAGCATAGTGCTGATAGGGTGGGGAGACCTGCACAGAGTCCCACCAGAGACACAGCTCTGTCCTGTTTAAAGCTAGCACAACTCTGTGAAGCTGGAGGCCTAGCTGTCTTTGGATGAATAGCTTCTCATTTGATCCCCCCCAGCAGCCCTGTAGGCCTTAGTGTGCTCATTTCCTCCCACCTATGCTGTTTGCCAGCAGGCTCTCCTGAAGTCCAAGCTGGCCTTGACTTTGCAGCAATCCTCCAGCCCCAGCTTCCCTGTGCTGGGATTCCAAGCATGGGTCACGACTTCCAGCTCTGTTTTCTGAAAGGGGGAACCAAGAGGGCAGTGGTGGCGAAAGGTAAGAATGGGTTCTGCATGGCAGCACAGCTCTACGGAACTGGTCATTCTCCCTCCAGGCTCTTGAACTTGCAGAGGGTGCAGCTTCTGTGACTGCTTGTCCATGGCCCTCACTCAACGAATCCTTGTCCTGGGCTTCTTCCTGGGGGGGGGGTCCAGATTTTGAGGGCCCTCTCTCTTATGCACCTCAACTTCAACTACTAGGAAGTCAACTAAAACTCACCTGTGATCTGGGTAGGGCTTCATAGCAAAGGCCCTTCCTTCCTCTCTACTTAAGTATCCGGAATGTCATGAACATAGAACTTCCTCCAAAGAAACAACTGTTAGCTCTAATATCTACCTCACTTCCCTGCGGAGTAACCAAACCCTGGGGATTTCTCCAGGTGGCTGGGGATCTGTCTGGCCCACTAGGGGCTGATCTGCTGTGTTTCCTCTTCCCACATCTCACAGGTAGGACAGATGAGCCCAGAGAGGAGTAGCCTTCCCCCTGAAGTCACACAGCGAACGTCTGCGGAGTTGAGCACAGTTGCGGAATTCCTGGCGGTCCTAGGCGCCCATTTGTCTGCCCGCTTCTGATACCCAGGTTCGGAGAATAGGCCTCTAACAAGCGGCCCATTAGAAGGAATTGTCACTCCTCTGGGAGCGAGGTTGTCCCATTAGGGCGAATTGTCATTCCTCCTGAAGCGAGGTTGTCCTGGCTCCGCGCAGGCTGAGTGCCGGGCCGAGAGCAATTAACGCGGCTCCGGCGCGGGCAGCCGCCTCTGCCCGGGGCAGCGGGGGCGGGGCGCCCGGCGCGGCTGGAGCCGGTCACCCGGCGCAGCCCCTTCCCCGGAGCCCGCCTTTCATCTCCCCGCGCCTGGCGCCTACCCGCAGCCCTGGCCCGTCTACAGCCCCTCCTCGGCCCCTCCCCCGCCTCCTCCTAGGCTCGAGATGCCGCGATCAGCCCTTGGGGTTACCAGCGCCGAGGTCTGCGCTCAGGGCTTCACAGTTTACAAGGGGTGTCTTCGCTTAGGAACTCAGGGCGCGCGTGCGCCGCTGCTCCACGGTGTCAGGGCTCCTGGGAAACCCGGTGGGGCCGCGGGGCGAGGGGGCGGGGGGCGGGGGGCATCGAGAAGATCGCGAAGGTGGGGAGGGTTAGGCCCTACTAGGCCCTACGGGGGAATTCGCCGGTGTCTCACCTCCTATTTGCATGATTGGGCAGCCTCCTAGTCTAGGACTTTTCCTCCATCAAAGGGGAAAGACTGTCTCCACCCCAAGTGGTGCGTTTGAAAATCACATGAAATTCTGGCAAGTTCAAGTACTTGAACATAGTGCTGGTTGACGCTTTGTGGTTCCCACTTTACCTGCTGGCAAGTAAGGCAGCCACATAAACATTATTCCCTCGCAACCCCCCATGGGAGCTAATGTTTGTCGAGAGCCTCTTAAGTGCCAAAGCCAGTCCTCCAATCGGGCAATCAGGGGGCCACCCAAACCTGAACACTTTTCGGGCTGGGACAAATTGTGTGCTTAGGATTTTACAAAGGGCCTGCCCTGGGGTGAGCGAAGGCTAGTGATGCTCCTTATTTTGAGGTACCTGGGGAAAAGAAGGCATCCGATAAATTATTGTTGCTTTGATGTAAATACACAAGAATATTTCAAAATCAATCTTTACATCTACTACTTACTTTATGAAACCATGTGAATCCAGTTCCCACAAAGCCATCCCAGGAAGGAATGAATGACTGTCTCTTATTTTAGAGCTGCCAGGAAGAGGTGAATCGAATATTCTGGGGAGAATGAGGCAAACCTTGCAGCGAATGCAGATAGGGCTTCTCCTTTAGGGCTCAGGCTGCGGGTTCTTTCCTCCCTTGTCTCTACCACAACAGAGCTGGGATGGTGCAGCATCATAGGGCATGGGGGAAGCAGCCGGCTGTCTCTGGCCATTTCTCTGTTCCTGAGCAGAGCTTGGCACTCTAGTTATCAACACTGCTTGCTCCTTTTATCTCTGCCACCTCCCTTTCTCCTGGTCTTACCATTTTCCTTCTCTGTGTGGATATCAGGACCCCAGAGTAGTGAGACACAGCTTGGCTTTTCCTCTACCAGAGATGTATATTGAAAGAAAGAGACTCCAGTGGAATTGATTTCCTTTTTGACTTCCTAGGAATGAGTCTGTGTGCTCCTAAACTGACACATATTAACTATGAGTTTTTCCGATTATTTATAAAGCATTGGCTGGGTTCAGCCCAACTGAAACTTGAACCCTTTTGTACTCTTTGGCAGCTGAGAGCTAAACGAATTTCAGATTTGCATCCAAAATATATAGCCTGCATCTTGCCTCTTGCATCTAGAAGGCACAGAATTTAATCTGGATTTACCTGTATTATATTTGAGATGCCTATCAACCAACTACCATCAGGTATGACTCAAGGGGAAATGCATGCATCCCCAGAAAGCTTTCAGTCTCCCCCGCCAACACACTCTTTTCTCTCCTCCAAACTTCTTTCTCTAGGCTTCCAGTCTTTAACAACAACAAAATGCCTATATATTGTGGTAGGAGAAAGATCCAGAGGTTTTTTTAAAGGCTCATTTAAAATTTCTTTACTTTCTAAAAAGCTTTTCCAAAACTGAACTGAATTAACTGGTTAGCAAAGACTTTTACCCTCTCAGATTCCCCACCACCATGCCTGGTTCTCTGGAACTAGTACAGTTTCACTCCAGGCAAAGGTTTAGGGTTAAAAGAGGTGCTCTGGGAAGAGTTTAAAGATCTGTAGGTCTAGGGGTCAATTTTCTAAGACTCTTGGACTAGGAGGTGGCTTCCAAGCTTTGATCATTTAAATAATCTAAAGCAAGGTCTCTTCCTTTCAATGACTGCGAAAGGAAGTAGCCTTGGCGTTCCAAGGTCCAGACTGAGCTGAGTGATCTGCGCTTCCCCAGCCACCCAGGATGGTCTTTGCCTATAGGAAAAGGTTTCTGCAGTCTTCACTGGATCCTTGCCTCCCTGCCTGGATCCGTGCCTCCCCGCCTGCAGCCCGAGGAGCTAGTCCAGGCCTCTGTGCCCTCAAAACTCGTTTTCTGCTTCTCACACTGAGACCGTTGGTCAGTGATGCTTTGGAACTGCAATTACAGATTGTGATTTGGGGAGGAGTGGAGGTAGGCATGTTGTTTAAAAGTTAAAGTCAGGTGCTGTGCGCTTTCCCCAGAGACACTCAGAGTTGGGGTGTGCAAACTGAGACGCCGGTATTTGAGAGGTTTACAGGGCAAAAGAAGACAGTAAATATCACATGTGCCCTCTCTTCCCTGCCTATGACCTTCCAAGGCAAATACTAGCTCCTGGGCACTGAGGCTAAAAAAAAGCCCTCATGAACACACATTGCACTCACCTGGAGAGGAGTTTTAGATCACAGAAAAAAAAAAATTTCAGTTTCTGAAAGTACTCTGGTTTGGGGAGAGGAATAGGTGGAGACCACTTGTATAAATTGACCATGATAAATTAATTGGTCTGTTGATCCACACCTGTCATCTTAAAACCCAGGAAGAGACAAGGGGACCACAGCAAGTCGAAGGCCATTCTGGGTGGAGAGAGAGAGAGAGAGACGGAGACAGAGACAGAGACAGAGACAGACAGAGACACAGAGAGAGAGGCCAGCCAGAGCTATAGGGCAAAATTTTGTCTAAAAATAAATAAGAGGAGGAGGAAATAAATTAGTTGGGTGCCCCTGGCCACCTCTCCGGCTCCCGGTTCCTTTTCTGGAGGAACGAGTTGTAACAAAGTGGATGCCATGGAGCGCTTGCTTCTGAGAAACTCGGGCGCACCGTGCCTGTACTATTTGCTTCACGTAGGAGTGCCCGCTGTTTTCCAGCGTTTTCTACTAGTTATAAAGTCACACTGTTGAATCTGAGCAATAAGTGATACTACTTAAGCAATAAGTTCATAGTAGGACCTTTATAAATGTTCCTGCAATGTTATTTGCGGGATTTAAAGCATACTCAGGCAGGAGTGGGATGGGCAGGCACCAGGTACATCTTAAAGAGGGGTTAAAGAAGAAATGGTACTCGGCAAACTTCCTCTTTAAACAATCGGCCTTAATTACGCCTTGGACTTTTCAGTTTTGACGATTATAACCCTTGAGGGATCGCCTAATAACAACTCTGCTGACTGCTCCTGTAATTAACTCCTAATTTATTTCAAACAGGGCGGGGGAGGGAGGGCTCCAGCCTCTCCGGTAGGAGCCAATCGAAGGCGAGCGTGTGTGGCGTCAGCACTAGACCCGGCGCCGATTGGCCGAGCCGAGTCTCCCACTTCCCCTTGGAGGACAGGCTGGCTCCCAGCGCGCCCCTGCTATCTCCCCCCCAAAAAAGTTTGAGTCGTCGCTACCGAGTTGCCAGCGGAGTAGCGCGCGGAGAGCTACACGGGGCAGAGAAGTCATGGCTTCTCCGTCCAAAGGCAATGACTTGTTTTCGTCCGACGAGGAGGGCCCGGCGGTGGTGGCCGGCCCCGGCCCAGGGCTTGGGGGCGCCGACGCGGCGTCGGAGGAGCGGCGCGTCAAGGTCTCCAGCCTGCCCTTCAGCGTGGAGGCGCTTATGTCCGACAAGAAGCCGCCCAAGGAAGCGTCCGTGATGCCTCCCGAAAGCGCCTCGGCCGGGGCTGCGCTACGGCCGCTGCTGCTGCCCGGACACGGCGTCCGGGAAGGGCACAGTCCCGGGCCTCTGGTCAAGCCCTTCGAGACCGCCTCGGTCAAGTCGGAAAATTCCGAAGACGGAACGACGTGGATGCAGGAACCCGGCAGATACTCCCCGCCGCCAAGTGAGTGCGCGCACGCCGGGGCCCGGGCTAGACCCGTATGTGGTGTACCGCAGGGGCCGGGGACCGGTGTGTTACAGGATGGATGCTCTTGGCAGGTCTGACCTCCTGGCACCCCAGTTCTGAGTGCGGTCCGCATCCCAGACACCTTCCGCCTTGCCTGCCCGCAACCCTTGGCTGCGCAGTGGCTAGCGAACCTGCGCACTTGCTAGTATTACCCCAGCTGGGTTTGCAAGGTCATGAAATTGGCTTCTAAAGGCCCTTTGCCCGTTGCCTGGATCCCTTCATATGCTTGTGGTTCACTGTCCTCGGTGGTGTCTGCTGGAGAAGCGAGGTGGATGCGTGCTTTTGTTTTGTTTTACTTTGTTGAGACAAGGTCTCATGTAGCCCATACTGCTCTGGCTCCATATTTAGTTTAAGATGGCCTTGAACTACGGATCCCAAGTGCTGGGATTACAGACATGCACCACCTCTCCGGTCTAGGATTCACCTTTAATGAGCGCCAGACAGCAAGGCGCTTGTTTTACTGAGCTTCAAAACAGCCGTGCGAGGTGGCCCCCACTTTAAAGATTAGACAGTTGGGAGTCTAACCAGACATGGAGTGGAAGTCATTAGTTTTCCTGGAACTCTTGTCCAATCCAGATACCACAAAGGGATGATGGCAAGGACTGACCCCTAAAGGAAACTTCTCCTGTCCTAGTACCTACCTGCTGCTTTGTTGACTAGGTTCTGAGCTTCTCTGGGAGCTAGCTAGCTTGGGCCAGATCCTCACAGGCCCTCCTCGGTTCACAGTAATAATTAACAGCATTAAACAGGACTTGAGAGTATACACAGTGGTGCTCACCAGATTTGGATCCTCCCTAGAACCTCAAAGTACAAGCATAGGCATGCCACCTGTGGCTACCCTCTTTTTCAGACGTGGTGTTAAAATGCCTTTAAGAGGTCATCAACCATGTCTACATTGGGCCTGGCAATCTCCTGCCCAAGCCCTGCTCCTCTACTGAGTGTGCTGGCTATCTTTTATCGACCTGATCCTTTTCCCCAGAGACGAAGTTCAGGTCCACACCTGCACTCAGGATTTCTTCCAGGGAAGTTCTGCTGACTTAGCATCCCTTTTAGGGTCCTGGGTCCTTTTTCTATTAATATTTAGAGGAACCATTCCCTGAAACTCCTTTAAGTTTTATCTTTTGGCCTTTGAGATTCCTCTACTCTCCTGCTTTTTGCTTTATACCCTTTCCTACTTCACTAAACTTTGGGACAGTTGAGAAAGGGGGCGCAGGGCTGCAGAGGAATTTCCTAGCTAAATTGAAAGAGAACCCATTTTCATTTCCACCTTTCTGCCCTCAGGACTGGGGGATACATGGTATTTTGTGAACGAAACAAGACCATATACCCGGCGTCAGTGGCTGTCCCCTCTAGCAGTCTCTCTCCACCCTCTTGGAAATTCTGAAAGACTGAAAGGGCGTAGAGATTAAGGACTCAAAGAATTTAAACTCAAGTTTGCACAGTGCTTTTCACGATATTATCTTATCTGATCTCCTTTGTGTGGCAGCAGCGGGCCTCTTGTTAACAGATGAGGACATTTCAACAGAGTTCAGAGGGATCAGCAGTTTGGGCCCTGGTGAAAAAAATCTTGGGAACATTTACTCATCACCTACCAATTGGGGTTCTGGACACTCCAAAATGTAGTACTCAAAGGCCCCTGAGGGAAAAGTATTATTTTTCCATTTTATGGACAGTGAAATGGAGGCTCAAAAACATTAAGAGTCTTGTTTAACAAATTTGGAGAGCCTGAGGGAGGCATGAGGCAATGCCCTGCAGTACACCCAGGATTCCAGCATTAAATGGAATGGTGGCCACAGGTCAGAAATACTGGCATACTTAGGCCTGGAGGTCTGGTATGGCAATTCCCCACCAGCCCTGTAACATCTCTGTGGTAAACTCTGGCTTCTCTGCCTTAAGGCAACCTTGGGTCCGAGATACTACCTTTTCATAATAAGAACTAAAGAGTCTCAGAAAAGATTTCATTTGAGAACAAGAGTTTTTGGTACTTTGGGCCTGGAGGTGCCAGCAGCAACCCAATGGTTGGAAGCAGGATGAGTTCAGGGAGTGGCAGGGCTGAAGGGACCCACCAGCCTTGTGCCTAGTTTTATTTTTTAGGAAGTAAGATAAATACCGTTTTGCCTTATATAACCACATCCTTCATCTGACTGGTGTAAAATGAGGTGGATGAAGAGGATGGGAGCAGTGGAGGAAGCCTTCTAGCTTCATGGCTTTGCTACCTATGCACAGTCCTCATGGCCTGGATTTTATAATTCTGATGCAGCCCTAAGAGTAACCTGAGAACCCTGGTTCAAAACCCTTCTGGAGTCAGGTACAAGTGTGTACAATGAGTTTGGTGTCTGAGCTAAGTTACCTGGTCCTCCTGACTAGCTAGGTTTGGGAAGAGTGAAAAGTCTGCAGGTATCCTGAGAATGTCTGGTGTTGGTGTTTGTGAATTAAGAAGAAAGCTTCCCTGTAATTGGCTTATTTAAGGGTTAGCATATGCAAAAGTTAAGACCTTTATGGGAGTTTTCTTGCCCCTTCCTCTCCCAGATTTGTTTTCTGATTACAGAACCCAGCACTTTGTAAATAGTGAATAATGGGACCCTAGGACCGCAGCTGGGTTGGGACTTGTGCTGTGTCACTCTCAAGTATGAAGTGTAAACTCTTCTTAGGGCCACCAGAGTAACTGAACAAGAAATGTTACATTCCCCCTGAATACACCGGAGTTACTACTCTGGCTGCATTGGGGAAACTAGCATAACCTATGAAAGCCAAATGCAGAAAAATAATTGTTTAGCATTCGCACTCCGCCCCTCCCCTTGAGGGAAACCAGAGCAGAGGTAGTGGCTGCCACCGAATCACCTTGGGGCATCATCCCCTTGCTTCCTTAACCCATTTTAAACAGAGTCTGGACGCTGTTGCCTTACCTTTGCTTGTTAGTCCCCACTTCTAAATTCCAGTAACAAAATAATCATGTACACATTTGCCCTAAACCATGGAATGGATGGGGAAATGACTAAGATGTCATCATCATGTGCTCTCAGTTCAGAGGCAGCATTTGACATGTCCGTTTATGAGCAAGCTAATTTTTCCTCCATCTTAGTAAAGTTTATATTGCCAAAGCACCCAGCCAAGAAACTTATCCCACATGCAGATCTGTAAAATGATGCTGGGTTTTATAATCTGTAGGGTAGATGGGATGACAGCTGTGTGTCTGTTTATTGCATGGATCTGCCCTCTCATCCAGAGACACTATTAGTTTACCACAGGTCTTATCTGCATAAATATGCTGATGCACTCCAACTTTCCTGGTTCAGAGAGGGGCCGGAGAAGTAGCTAGCCCAGCATTTCAAGCCTTCAGGTTCCTTCTGATGTGTGATTGTCTTACATTGAGAATAGGTATGAATTCAGCCTCCCATTTTAAAAACTAGAGAGATTAAGTTCTGAGGAAGTTTTATTTCTCAGAATATTCAGCTCCTGTGACTTATGAAGGACTTTATTCATGATTTCTCTTTCCATTTTCTCGGGGGCTATATGTTTTCCATATAAAAAGTTTCATGACCGCATTACCCAAACTGGTATTTTTTTTAAAAAATACAGTAACTTATCCATTTAAATGGGTAAATTTCCATACTCCTCAAAAAAAAAAAAAGCATGGATTTGACAAAGGTGCTTTTTTGAAAAGTGAAACAAAGCTTATGTGTACATGAGCTAAGTGCTGTTGGTTAAGAGGGGGTCCGCACAGGCCAGCCTGGAGAGAGTGCTGCTTTTTGCTAATTGATTTCCTCTCTGTCTTCCAGGACACATGAGCCCCACCACCTGCACCCTGAGGAAACACAAGACCAATCGGAAGCCACGCACCCCCTTCACCACATCCCAGCTTCTAGCCCTGGAGCGCAAGTTCCGCCAGAAACAGTACCTCTCCATTGCAGAGCGGGCGGAGTTCTCCAGCTCTCTGAACCTTACAGAAACCCAGGTCAAAATCTGGTTCCAGAACCGAAGGGCCAAGGCCAAAAGACTGCAGGAGGCAGAACTGGAGAAGCTGAAAATGGCTGCCAAACCTATGCTACCCTCAGGCTTCAGTCTTCCCTTCCCTATCAACTCACCTCTGCAGGCAGCATCCATATATGGAGCATCCTACCCTTTCCATAGACCTGTGCTTCCCATCCCACCTGTTGGACTCTATGCCACACCAGTTGGATATGGCATGTACCATCTATCCTAAAGCAGACTAAATGAACAGACTCTACTCCAGGATGGATGTTTGCATAAAAGGGCTCCCCTCCCTCTCCAAGAAGGTGATGCCAGTCCATGCTCCTGAATGCAAACCTTACATTCGTCTCCCGAAGCAACGGGCCCACAGGGCCGCTTGATACAAAGTGAATTTGTTCTTTAGGTGAGAGGCACCAAGATCCATTTTGTTGTGGTACTCTTCCAAATGCCCCCTTATCCTCTCACAAATATTGGCTTTGCTAGTTTTTATGTATAAATATATATAATAAAATATAAGACATTTTTATATGCCAGACGTAAAAATTCAAATTATTTTGAAAGGCAAAGTTTATTTACATTTATCCATGTTTCTATGTATCAGCTTATGATACTGTGTTAGGTCCATCTGCTACATTTTCTTAAAGGGAGCGCAGTTATTTACAGAGGTTGTTAAAATATGGTAGGATGGTAACTTGCTTACAGAAGACATACTAGAATTAGACACAGTGCACACAGGAAGTAGATGCAGATAGATTCTTCCAAGTGGAGGGGCTATGTAATACATTTGAATTTTATGTAATACGTTTGAATTTTATGTGCATGGAGAAATCTCTTTTGGGATACTACCATATTTGATCCTATTTTTTTCCTCCCTTTCTCTGTATTATCAAAGTTTTATCTTTTTTTTTTAATTTTTTTTTTTTTAAGATCAGTAACAGGAAGATATAAGAAAAGCCCAGAGAATACCTCAGGGTGAGGGAGAAAACAGAAAAGTGCCCTGGTTTCTGCCAAGGCTATCTCTGCTTGACTCCATTTCAGTCAGTTGGGAGAATTAAGAAGATAAAACATGTCAGGAAGAATTATTTCTGTGAAATGCTGGGAACATCGGTCCTCACATGTTACAAAGGTGATTGGCAGGGGGTTGGAGGGGATAATTTTCTGCTTAAAAAAATGAATATCTTGTAACTATTACCTATATTTTAAATATTCTTCAACAATTGATAGAATCAGGAAGGAAAAATCTTGCTTTCTTTGTGTGTGCTTATTGTATGTGCTAAACTTAGAAAAATTTACATACGCTTTAACGTGTTGGGGGCAGAGTTAAGCCATCTTCTGACTTGCTAGAAATGGTGCTGTCAGACAGCACTTTTAGCCCCCAGTATTTCACTTTCCTGTCCATCTCTTCCCCCAGTATATTTTTATCCCTTTGAAAGGGTATCTTGTAAAATTTTATATATTTTATTGAAGAGTTATTTCTTATCTCTTACTCTGAATTAAATTAAATGTTTTATTGCAGTAAAGTTTGTCCCAACTCACAATTATTTTAAAAGGCACTCTGTTCTAACCAAGACTTAGCTCAAAATGCCATCCAGATGAGGAGGTGGGAACGCGTGCTTTTAATTGTTGTTTGAGGGGTGGAGGAATCAACTAAAAGTCCTGAGACACTTTGAACTGTTAACTGGCAGCTTGTATGGCTTGGGAGAAGCTGTCAGAATCACAATTAAAAGTTTGCCAAACTGCAATGAAAGATGAGCTTTTTAAAAAAGTGAGACAGGGCTCTCCAGGATCATAGCCGTCTGTAAATGGTCCAGGGGAACCTTGAAATTTTCCAACTACCAAAACAACTTTTGCGGGTGGTGGCCTTGTGAGCAAGCTCATAGGGTTGCTGGAAGGGGGAGCTGCAGTAGAAGTTTCTGGAGCTCCTTTTGCTGTCTGTGTTCCCCCAAGGAGATGGACCCAAAACAAATGCTGTTTTCTGTTTGAAGGGGGAAAGTGTCTTCAAGCCCCTCTTGCTAACTATCCATCCCAGAAGAAGCTAGATGCCCTCCCCCGTTTCAGGCTTGGGTTTTGAGGCACAGCCACAAAATTAAAAGGGTGAAAAGCCTGAGAAGGATCCTAATCTCAAGTTTTCTGTTGCACAAATCAGTGACTACTAGAGATACGTTTTAGTGGTCGATTTTCCTTTGGAGATACTCTTGTCACTTTGGTAACAGAGATGGGAGGGGGCAAGAATTCTGCTGTGGGAATTACATGGCGGAGAGTTTGTTGCTTTAGTGCGTTCTGATGTTACCCACTTGGTGGGTGCTGGAAACTCCAGGTTTGTTTGAAGGTTCACAGGCCCCCATCTCTGGAGCTTCTCAACCCCAGGGAGGAGCGGGTCGAAACTGGTCCAGCACATGCTTGAAGTTAGAGGCCAAAGTCTTTCCGCATAGTTACTACCCCGAGCTGAGGAGCGCGCATCCCAGCCCCTCCGGAAAAGTGCTTTTCAGCCTCCCCTAGGGCCTTTCGGCCCGAAGTCCGAATTCCAGGCTAGAATCAACCACACTCATTTAAGAGATGCGTTTTCCAAAGGCCCAAGGTCCTTCCCGGTTTCGTCATCGTCTGCCAAGGGGTCTCTAATTAGCCTGTCCACCGAGCTTCCTCCCTGGCGCCGTGCACCGGACCAGCGCACCGGGTGACCCGGGGCAATGTTAGCCTGGGCGGGGATTCCAGGGCTTCTGGGTTAAGGCTCTGCTTGCCCCGGGAGGTAAGGTATTCCATCCCCAGCAGGATTCGCAGAAACCGGTCGGAGGGGTGTGGTAAATGGCTGGGGCACACATGGTCCTAGATCCTAAAGAAAAACTGAGGCACTGAGACGAAAGCGGAAAGGGCCGCTCAGGCTCCAAGATAACAGAGCTCAGTCCAGGGTGGATGAGGTTTCCAGTTAAGATCGGGGCCGGACGGTGCCTCTCGTGTTTTTTTCCCACCCTCCGGTCTGGGCTTGAGTCTTGCCTAGCTCAGGCCTGGTCCCGAAACAGTTTCAAGAGGCCAGATGGACAATTTGTGGCAGCAAGAGGTCTTTGGCTTGCCCAGGACCTGCGCAGGGGCGATTGGAAATTAAAACTCAAATGCCCCTTACGACAGCCTTGCGCCGCCGATTGCCAGAAACCTGTCACACAAATCCACCTGCCCTTCCATACTCCACAAAAATCTGCCAGAGACAGCCATGCTTTTTAAAAGCGAGGGGAAAGGTAGGGTTACTTGCGGAGCTAAGAAGCCCCTGTTTAGGGAGGAAGGGAGCGTTTTCCTTGCCCCGTACTCATCGCATATCCTTGGAAAGGTTATTTTTGTTATTGACAGTTGAAGCTGAAACTCAGAGAGGTGGCTCACTGAGGTCACAGAGGGCGATGGTGGCAGAGGAATCCACTTGAAGGGTGAGGAGGAGATGCTAAACAGAACTGGCATGGCAGGCTGGTTCCGAATGCAGGCAGCGATCCGGGTTTCGAGTTTGGGAGTTTTGCTCTGGCTCCCACCACCCCTCTGGGACTTCTGCAGAGCATTTCCATTGGCCTTGAGGGCCCGGCCCGCCCCTCCCCCTCTCAGTCCTCTCTAGGCGTTGTGGGGGCGAGGGTGGGGGCG